GCTGGCAGCAGAGCAGCCAAGACTCCTGCCACATGTTGGTGACGGGTTTGATTTGGAACATTGTTCAATACTTTGACACTTCTGTGACTTTGTTGCTAAAACACTATTTGTTCTACCACTCTGAAAGTTGGTGTCAGATTTCTGGAAACTGGTGGCCTGAAGCCGTTGGTGATCGACTTCACTCCAGCGAAGGCCTCGACGCACGTGAGAGCCTCAAGAAAAAGCCGGCTGGATCCAACCTTCTCATGTGTTTGAAAGCTTGGTGAACAAACCATCCAAACATGTATATGTTCACATCACTGGCATAGATTCTACCAGAATCAGTCCAAGCTACATACATTGGCTGCGTCATGCTTCCCATGACCAGCTCGAACAACGCGAGGAGCGAGTAGGGCAGCCCACCCATCCACAGAAGGTTCAGCCTTGGTTGGTCAGTAAGATTTAGTTTTGAAAACAATATATATATATAGAGTATATATGGTTTTAAAGGATTCGAAACACACCGATATAAGGCAATGAAGACGTCCGTTCAGAACCCAGACCTTGCCCCAAAACTCCAAAACCTGAAGACTCCAATTGTCGAGCAACATCTTTGACATGATCGGGTGGATGCGAAGCGAACCAAGCTTGAAGGTTTTCTTCGAGCCCCATTTGGCAGCTTTCCTCCGCCGCCGGATGATCTTGTTCTGCTTCTTTGCAGCTAGCTTACGCAATGCCATGGCAACAATTGGTAAGCGGAGCTGAGCGAGCCGAGCACAAAATTTCTGGGCGACCAGGCGTGTGGTTAAATCTTGCCAGCACTCCACCGAGAAAAACAATCATGATGCGCAGACTGTACCCTCTCACAGCTGACTGCCCAAATTAAACTTCGGCAGCAAGACCTCACGGTGGACATTGCGGCAATCCATCGCAACTCTGCTGGTCACGTGTTGGTGGCCATCCAAGCGAACACAAAAAATATCCAAAACAAAATGTGACTGCTGAGATTCATGGTTTGGGCTCCGCATATATGCTTGCAAGACTCCTAGACATATGGGTGTGTTAAGTTGGATCTACACCTAGACGACGCGCGTGCGCAAGAACCTGCAGCCACCACTCACAGCGCCGAATGCGACGTTCACGAAAAGCTTGCGAGCACCCCCCCGCAAAAAGTCCAACGTCAACTGCCCCAAAAAAGTTGCGAAAACAAGGCAACAACTAGAACAAGCTGTACCGTGTGCGATTCCCACCACAAATATTGGTCAATCATGGCATGGTTACCCGACAAGTTTGGAAAAAACAGTTTGCCTTAAACCTCGCAAGTTTAAGGTTTCTATTATTTTGCCCGCTACAATGCAGTTCGCCTGCTACTTAGATAATCTTAGCCACGAAGGCTTATCCAGCCCAAAGGCTTATCCTATCCAAGAATCACTGAAGACATAAGCCTTCATCTGGGAAGGCTCAAAGGATAGCACTCTCGGCTCTCTAGGAAGTCTCACACGAAACGCTCTTTTTGGAGACTGGACGTGTGACTTTTGGAGCAAGTCTCGTACGAAACGCTCGTTGTGGAGACTTGATGTGTGAGTTTTTTGAGGAAGTGTCGTACGAAAGGCTCGTTTTGGAGAATTCACGTGTGACTTGTGGAGGAAGTCTCACACGAAATGCTTGTTTTGGAGACTTGACGCCTACAAGAGTGTCCCACAAGAGTTTCCTACAAGAGTGACCCACAAGAGTGTCCTACAAGAGTGTCCTACAA